AAAAATATGTCCCCCCCCCCCTAAAATATGATTTTAATGTGAAGGATTTCAAAGAAATTACAATGTTAATGGATTCATTTAATCTTCGGTTCGAATTTGGTTTATTAGAAAGTGTATGCATGTTCAAGTTGAAGAAAGTTCAAAGAGATTGTGGTTTTAACTTGTTTCTTGCATTTTCGGTTCAGTTAGGGTTTATTCGTATATGGAAAAATAAAATCAAAAATGTATTTGTTCTCTTTGGTTTGATCTTCCATTGCTAAACTGGATTAGGCACTACTGTTACTACTACTGTTGCTGTTGGAAGAAACAGGAAATAACTAAGCAGAATTTGCAGGATCGGCAAGATCTTTAACCGGAAGCCGGTTTAGCTCAATGTCATTTGAATCAAGCATTGCTCCGTTTACTCTTTCTGCAAGGACGTTCACTGCAAGCGAAATAGCAAAAGCTACTAACAACTTTGAGGAATCGAGGGTTCTTGGTGAAGGCGGATTTGGACGAGTTTACGAAGGTGTTTTCGATGATGGAACTAAAGTAGCTGTTAAAGTATTGAAGAGAGATGACCAGCAAGGTGGCCGAGAGTTCTTGGCCGAAGTGGAAATGCTTAGCCGTCTTCATCACAGAAACTTGGTGAATTTAATCGGTATTTGTATCGAAGATCGTAACCGTTCTCTGGTTTATGAGCTCATACCAAATGGCAGCGTTGAATCTCACCTCCACGGTATGTTTTCCAGTCCTTAATGTTCCAAACCTATCTTTGGATTTTGGTTTACATTCAATATCAAAAAGTGAATGGAAACTGAATATCATTCGGTTACAGTTTGTTTGGTTGCGAAAAAAAAGAAACTGAATTAGTTTATTTTATCTTAGTTTGGTTATTACGATATGATTTTGGTTCTGTTCAGAATCTTCAGATTGTTTATCTTTGAAACCAACATCTCTTTTTCTTTCTGTTTCTTATTTAGGGATCGATAAAGAGTCTTCGCCTTTAGATTGGGAATCTCGGTTGAAGATAGCTCTCGGTGCAGCCCGTGGTTTAGCCTATTTACACGAAGACTCGAGCCCACGAGTTATACACAGAGACTTCAAATCAAGCAACATCTTGCTTGAACACGATTTCACTCCTAAAGTCTCTGACTTTGGACTAGCTCGAAATGCCCTCGATGATGAAGATAACCGGCATATATCGACACGTGTAATGGGAACTTTTGGGTAAGATAAAGAAACCAGAATTGTAACAAACAGCGTCAACTGTTGGCTATTCTGATGCGATACTTGTACATGTTTGGTTTTCGATAGGTATGTGGCGCCGGAATACGCAATGACGGGGCATCTTTTAGTGAAGAGTGATGTGTATAGCTACGGTGTTGTGCTTCTTGAGCTACTTACGGGTCGGAAGCCGGTGGATATGTCTCAACCGCCGGGACAAGAGAATTTAGTTTCATGGACTCGGTCTTTTCTGACGAGCAGAGAAGGGCTTGAAGCTATTATAGATCAGTCTTTAGGAAAACCCGAGATTCCATTTGATAGCATAGCTAAAGTCGCAGCAATAGCTTCAATGTGTGTGCAACCAGAAGTATCGCACCGTCCTTTCATGGGAGAAGTAGTGCAAGCTTTGAAACTTGTCTGCAACGAATGCGATGAAGCTAAGGAACTTAACTCTGTAACTTCAATTACTCAAGACGATATGAGAGATGACACTCGAGCTGAGAGCTCTTGTGGTGGCGGCTCGGGGAGGATGGTCCGATATCCGTTGCTACCGAATTACGACTCTGAGCCTGACACAGAGAGAGGACTTTCCACATCGGAAATGTTCACCGGTTCTGGTAGGCTAGTGAGACAGACTAACTCTGGTCCTTTGGCCTCGGGTCAAGGCAAGAGTTTCTGGCAAAAGATGAGGAGATTATCGACTGGAAGCTTGAGCGAGCACGGGCCATCATCATCAGTCATGTTACGATCCGGTACGCGTTGAACGATCTCTCGCTGGTTACAGAACATTGGAGTTTTAGATTGCTCTTTGATACAAGCAACAAAAACGAAAGGGAAAAAAAGGTGCCTTGTGATACAAGACAACTCTTTGCCTCCTGGAAACCGGTTAAACAAAAACCGGGAGAGATCATTCCCGGTTCAATAGTTATTAGTTGAAGTGATATTTGTATCTTAGAAGAGAGACAAGAGATTCTGTTTAAATCTTTAATTTGAATGTACATATCGCTACGTTTAAGGCAAAACAAGAGGCATAATCAAGCACACCTTCCTTTACAGTTCCGGTACAGACCGGTTCGATGCTCTTCAATTCAAACCAACTAGAGAAGATGGTCTTATATGAAGGTAAATGGGCCTTAAGGCTCATTAACTTGTTAATCTTCTGATTGGTAAATTGCCTTTGGGCCTTAAAACGATAAAGACACAATTGGTGGACAGCCGCGGATTCATTGTGGCGTCTTGAGCGCGAGAATTTGTCTAGGTAAAGCCTTTGTTTATCTTTCCAAGACAACCAATTAGTTTTAGTGGTTTTATCTAGCCTGTACTAGCCGACTTTGCGATGAACTGGGTAGGGTGAGCTATCTCCGATCACTTATTTTGGTTTGCGAGGGTTATCTTTTGAGTTAGCTCATGGAATGGTTCGTCAAGTTGCTCTCACGGGAAGCGAAAGGAGTACGTGATGGAGTGCTGAAGCGACTATGCCATTGACGACTTAAGCTTGGTCCTCCATTAAAAGGCTTCTAGCGTTGCGGGCTCTAGTTTTCCGGCTTCTGCGGTTAGCGTTTGCATCTACATCTCATCCAATTGATTCGGAAAAAACAATCAATAACGTTATCATTTTGTCTATCCCCATTAGCATTCGTGTTTTTGTCGAGTGGGCAAACTAAAAATCGAAATGAATTATGCTTCCATG